GTGCACAGTAATTTTTAGGACTGAAGCTCATGCAAGCAAGTGGGATTAATAATTCCTTTCTTTTGGTAAACAGAAAAATAATACTGGGAAAAAATGCATATGTAAAAACTAGTTTAAAAGTGTTGCCATGGCAACTGGAATTCTCTTGCTTGTAAGTCTACTATGAAGAGCTAAGAATAAGTCAGATTGTTCTCATCAAAGGCAAAGTCTTGGAATGGCTGATGTTGGAAGGGACCTCTGGAGATCACCTAGCCTGACCTGCACAAGCAGGGCCATCATGAACCACTTTCTCAGGACTATGTCCAGGCAGCTTCTGAATATCCCCAAAGAAAGTACAGCCTCCCTGGACAGAATTAGCTTAACTGAAACTTAAGTTTAAATTCCTCAATTAGCTCTTCTTTTTTTATTTTTTATTTTGGGAAGGAGTGGGTGAATATGTAAACATAAATGCCAAACATTGGCATTGTTTTAAAAATATATATATTTTTAGAAATGTATAACCCAAGTGATTTCTTAAGGAGAGTATTTCAACCTTGTAAGGTCATAAAGAATAACTGGAGCTGTATTCCAGTTAATAAAGTCACAGCCAGAGGATTGCTGTGTGTACTGGCTGATATTTGTCACTTAGAGCAGCTAAGTTTGTTTGAAGATGTAAGCTATTTTTAATAAGACCTTATACTGTACTTGCAGTTCAGATAGGTAGTCTTCATGGGTAACGTGAAGCATGTCAACCTAAAATACCTTAGCTTTTAACAGAAGAATTTTCCAAGCTGGTATAAAATCCACAGAAATGCTTAAGTTTTGAATGCAGGTCTTCTAAAAATTTTTCTTTAGAAGAATCCTGGAAGCTTATTATTACTATTACTTCGAACTATTCAAATAATAATAGCTTGAATATGTGAGAGATCTGAAGAAAATTTGATGCATACAGAATTATACCTTGGTTCCAGATCAGGACATGGTGTGCTAACCACATAGAAGTTTGACAGATTTTTTTTTCCCCCTCAAATAGCTTTATTAATAATAAAAACAGCAAAACAGAAACAGGCTTTAACAACAAGCCTATGAAGAAAATTAAAACTGTTCATGTATGCCAGGAGAACAAACTTGATTCACCGCTCATGGAAAGTGCACCTGCAGCAGATCCATCAGTGAAAGTTACATGCAAAATAAGAGTGCTGAAAAATCCAAAAGTGGAAAGTTGAAAGAAATACAAATTGCTTCATATATTTCATCTCCATTTAGAAGCTACTGACAGAACACTTGGAAGCAGAATGCAGTGTCAACAAAGGGGTTTCTAAGGTTCTGAACATTACTGTTAGTCTCATTTTAATGTGTTTTTGTAAGTGAACTGCGCACATTTCAAGCAAGCTTTGTGTTAATCTATGTGCACTCACAAGAAAGAGAATAAAGACAATGCCAAATGCTTGAAACTGCACTATTTTTTTTTTACTTTGCATATTTCCAGTGGTCTTTTCTCTTTGTTTTTCTTACATCTGCCACCTTCACCTATCCTTTGAGAGAGTGTCTTCCACCACCATCCTTCTGTTACAAATGCTGCCTTTCTTATTGGGTAGGAAGAACTATGAGCGTTCCTTTGTCTCTTCTGATCTCTGAGAATCCTTATGACTGCATTTCTGGCTGCAAGCACTCTGGCAACAAATGGTTTTCCTGTACAGATTAAGCAACTGATTACTCCTCTCTTTTTTGTCTGTGGTGTCTCTGGTAAGGTAACTATTCAGAAGTGACAGAATTTGTTCCAGGGCTAGGGTGGATTTGGTGTTAAGAGAACTCTTCTTTCTCAAGAGTAGCTGGAAACTCCACTTTCTCTGACCGTAAGACAGGTTGGCATCACACTTCTGTGGTAAAAGCCACTGTGCCCTGTGGTCCAGCAGCTATATGTTGCATTTTCATGTTGCATGTTTCACAGGGTTTCTTCAACCTTACTTACATACTGCTCGCAATATAGAAGTCACATTCTTGTTCCTTGAACAGCTGCTGATTTTCAGGCTGGATGGTTTCCACAGTGGTGGATATGTGTAGAAGGGTGCCAGTTCTTCAGCCTTTGCACCCCAAGGCTTTTCTTGTATCAGCACCTTGCTTTATCTGGTGAGCACATAATTGTGGTATTCAGCTCAGGATCTTCATATGTGGAAAAGCTGAAGTCCTAAAAGGGAATTGAGAGTCTAAATATTTCATTGATATGATGTGACATTTTTAAGGAGACTATAAATTATTCATGAAAAAATATTTCATTACCTATATAAAAGCAATGTATAATTTTGTGATTAGTGTATAATGCTCAGTATTTTTTGTTTCTTCAGTGTTTTTATAGTCACATTTTCTTGAAATTGCCACTGAAAGATTGTTGTTACTGTGAGACAGGCTTAATACTGTTCTTTTTTTTTTTATACTTGATAACTACATGGTGTGAACATCAAGACTATTTTCACATTTAAATGATAGGTAAGTATGAAGTGATCAGAAAGGAGGAATCCTTTCAAGAAATAAATGCTGTTTAGACATTCTGAGGGAAATCATGAATCTCATTTCCTATTTGGTGATTTATTTATTTATTTTAAATATAGCTTCTCATTGCTCTCCGTGTAACTGGAAAAAATAAATCACCGAACATTTTTTAAAGTGTTTTCTGTATTAATGGAACTGGAAATGTGTTGCTACTGGGGCCTTACTGTAACACTTTTCTGAAAGCTGATCGTGACAGAGAAGTTTTCTATTTCAGTGAATAGAAGCTGAGGCACAAATGCAATATTTGTCTCCTGCTGGTAGGAGTATTTTGTTGTATATGCTGCATCTTTGGTTTTGAGATGATTTTGTGTTTGGTTCTTACATATATTTATGCACTGTTAATTTCTTCTCATCGTACTTTTTCTTCCTCTTTTCTTTCACGTTATTTTTTTTTCCTTCAGATAATTAAAAAAACCTTAAACACTTTTTTCGTATACTTCTGTGCTTTGCTTTTTTGAACTCCTGGAGTTATGTCCCCATAAGTAGTTTCCATGTTATCCCACGGGACTAAGAACTGAACAAAATATTCATTAGTGATCCTCTAGGACCGAGACTGGAGGACCTATGACTAGATGGGTTCCGTAGAAGAGCTTTTCAGCACCAGGAAAAAGAATTTTCAAGTTGTTTTTTTTTTCTGGAGTATCTTTTGCTCAAAGCAATAGGGAGAGAGGACATGAAAGACTGATACCTGTTTTTGTTACTCAGACTGTGCCAAGAGTGCTTTTCTTGTTTGCTTGCTTACTGAGTTTGGTTTGCAGGGCATCTGGAAACTCTTTGGTAATATCTAAAATCCCAGGCTCTGCTTCTTCTGTCTTGTGAAAATGTCAGTTGATTTCCCCGCAGTTAGGCCTTTCGTTGTGAGTCAGTTGATACTGTTCAGTTTTGCCTTTGTCTGAATGTTAAAGGGGCATGAAACTAAAATAAATTTATATATATAAAAAAAAAAAGTTAGTGTTCGGTATAGGGAAGAATTTCAGTACTCTGAAGGTGGTTGGACGTGGAAATGGCTTCCTAGTGAGGTGGTGGTTGTCCCATACCTGTCAGTGTTCAGGAGACATCTGGACAATGCCCTCGATAACGTGCTGTAACTTCTTTGATCAGCCCTGTTAGACGTGGTCAGGTGGTTGGACACAATGGTCTTCGTTCCCTGAAACAAACCCACAGGTTTTCTACCAATCAGAAGCAGTGCTGTTAGGATTGAAACTCAGTACCAGAGTATGTTTTTAGTGACTGAAGTCATGGTCAGGATTCAATTTGAAACTGTGCACTTAATTAAATCTTTATAAACTTTAAGCAATAGTTTTTTTTTCAGTAGTATATGGAATATAGCAGATTGCTGTCATGTGATGCTTTCAATATTAAAAATGCTCATTAATTTGTCACGTATGCTTTGAAATGCATTGTGATATGCTGTTATTATTTGCCAAACCATTTATATATTTTTAATTCATTTGGGAATGCAGACTCAGAAGGGTACATTATCGCTTGTGGAAAATGTAAGCAGTTTAAAATTGAGTGGACCGTGTGTGACTGCTCCGGTAAATGGGGCACAGCAAGAGGTTGAGCAGACAGGGCTCTAGTTTTGTCTTGTAGCACTGAGATGATCACGTGTGTTGTTTTTCCACTTCACTGCTCTAATATCTCTTGCACGTTTTAAAAGTAATCTTTTGCCATAGGCTGGATGTAGCACAGTCAGAGCCTCTTGTCATCTGTCTCTATGCACCGAGGCATCAATTTCGTCTAAGATGAAATAAAATGATAAAGATTGTTACACTGCTCTAAGTAAAATAATTTCTTAGCAGTGCAAATGTAATAAATGCCATCTGAAATACAGTTTGTATGTTTTTGAAGAAAGTGTAAAATAGAATTGAGATTTTTGAGTAATTTTCTTTGTTAAATAATAATAAGTTCAAGTGTAATGTTCTGTTCAACTCTGACTCTGTTAGAATTTCTTACCTGGCCTAGTGCAAAAGAGTGTGGGTAAAGGAGGAAATATTATTTAATGCAGTTACAGTAATAAGTCCTTTCTATTTTTTTTTTTTTTAACACCCTGAATTAATGAGAATAAATGTAGTGAAAAATGTTTTGGAAGGCAGAAATCTACATGCATTTCCTTTCCTGGGAATCAGTGGTGGTACAGATATACGTCCACTTAAATTTTCTATTTGATGTCCACTTCAGTTATCCCTGTGAATACTTTGAACCATCAGAAATCTCAAACTCAGAATTGTTATACTAATGTCTGCATGAAACCTCTGGTTCACAAATGTGTTACTTCCTAATAGTTTTGACTTGAAAAACATCACCTTCCACAGCAGCTAAATGTCAGTCATGAGTAGTTCTTGGGCAGTAAGCACATATCATGTGATTTTTGCATGGAAGCAGAAGGAAGGCAGAAATGGGGCATACTTTTTTGATGTATATAAATGTTTCAACTACACATAAACGTAACTTTCACATTTGTATTTCAGGAAAGCCAGGTGCCTCTGCTGAAACTCTTCTGGATGAGGAACGTATAAATCCAGTGAATTACTCAAGCCAGTTACAGGACTCTGGATGTGATGTGTCTAATGACTATGCATTCGAGTCTTTAGGGACAGCTTCTGATTTCCAAGACCTTGAGCATACTGCCGACACATCTAAACACTGGTTGGAAATAGTTCCCTCACTGAATTTTTGCTGTTCTAGCAAGGAGGAACCTTTGACTGTCCCAGTGCAGTTTTTTCAACATCTGCTTGAAATAAGAAAACTGTCAGAAGGAGGAATGCTGCAAGCAGACTTCACAGAGCTTGAGAACGATTCTTTCACTATATGCAATTCATTGTCTCAGCTGCTTGATGGGCTAACTGTTTTTTACAACAGTCCTAAATTTCCAGTTTCAAGTTTTCTTACTGAGGCAGTTTGTGTTTTGATCAGATTAATAGCTGACACTAAATTATCTAATCATGTTCTGAAGAAGTGTTTCAGGAAGCTTGAAGAATTTATGAAAAATTTAATTCAGATTATTTTAAGAAACAGCAATGTCAATAGGGTAAGTTTTAAACATCTTCCATCTTTTCTATACCACTTAAGTGTTATTAATATTATTATTATTAATATTATTAATTATTAATACTCTTCTGGTTTTATGCTTTTTAAAATACTGTCTTGCTACATTTTGAAGAGTACTTCTTATGGGTGGTTTTTGTGGTTGTTATTGTTGTTTTTTGTGTGGTATGGATGGTAAATGCTGCAAAGCAGTTGGAAAATTTCTGCTTATGCATGCAGGTTCTTCTGATCTATTCCCAAGTATAGGACTTTTAAACTGTTAAAAAGGCACTAAAAGAAATTGGTAGAAGAAAAGAGACAAAGCAGGTTGTTTGTCTTGCTGAGTATCTGCTCAGAAAATACTCAGAAAATAATGACCATATAATTTTTATTATTATTCTTTTTAATGCACCTAAATAAAATGTTATTTTGCTTCAGATCACATCTGTAACTCTCTAGACATTTGCAGAGTTGGGTTTTACAAGTAAATCCGCAAATGAGTAAAGAATACAGGAGTGGCACATCCATGGCACATAAAGCAAGTAGGACTAAGCAGCATTTTGTCTATATTCATCACTTTTTATTGTTCTATGCATCCCCTTTAAGTTTCATCTTCTGGTTTAAAAAAAAAAAAATCCCTAGTTTTTCTTCACAGTAATTCTACTGTATGAGTTTCATTGTCTGTCTTAAGATTTTTTTTTTTTTACTTTCACTTTTAGGATAACTTTAAACAGATGTGGTGGTGGAATTGTTTGAGTGTTAAACATCTCACTGTAGTGTCTACATAAACATATCTACACCCATGATAATAAATGTAGTTTGTATTCATGGAACCTGAAGAATGCTGCCTGGATCTCAGGTGTCTGTTGTAGGATGAGCTCTCAAGTTGCCTTGAGCAAAATGAGAGGTTGGACATCTTCTGTGCCTGTAGATACAAATGTGCGTTTGTCCTAATTTAGAATGAATCCCTGGGTCACTGTGTGTGTGTAACTCAGAATGTAAACATAAAAAAATAATACCCAAACAACCAGAACCGAAAAAAGAACAGCATTACCAAATTAAAAGAGGGGAGGGGACATGGATGTGCCTGGATTTTGTTTAGAGGTAGAAAAAGTAAAGCTTTCCGAAATAAATGTGTCATACGGAAGTTTTCCAGGGCTAGAGTGTTATGTCGCTAACACAAGGATGCTTTATGTTTCAGTGTCACTGTAGCGTGATACTTATTTTTTCTGTAGATGTGTCCCTACTCTGTATCTTGAAATGATGTCAGCGTGCTTAATGTTTGTGTGATATCAAAAATAGCCAATGCAGGTGTGTCTCTTCTTACCTGTTTGAGCGATCACAGGATACAAAGAGAAGACATGAGTTCAGTGAGGCCTGCTTCATAGTTGATGTCTGTTCTTTCCACTTGTTCCTTTCCTCCACTCAAACTGGAATTTTATAAATAATAGAAAATAAAGTTAATTTTAGATGCACAACTGAGAGGCTCTCCAAAAGGGGATTATTTGTTGATTGGAGGAATCCAGGGGAAGAACAGAGCACAAAGAGAAGGTAAGGGAGAAATGTTACAGATTAAATGAGAGAAAATATCCTGATTGTTATGGAATGTTTCAAGTCTGCAACATGCTTTTAGATATCATTCAGGAAGACTGGAATATACCCACATAATTTGCAAGTGGCATCTTTCCTCTGAATAACTTCACTAAACAGATGGCTTTTTATGAGATGTTTTATATCTTGCTTCTACTGCAGTATTGACTGAACAGTCATTCATGTCAGCAGTCAATACTTCAATCAAACAGCTTTCAAAGTCTTGAAAAGTGTCTAGGACAACAATTAAGGGATAATCCTGATAATTTCCAGATATCCAGGAAGAGGGGAAGATGTGTGTGGTAACTGCAATGTTTATAAAGATTTTTCTGGAAAAAAAGAAAAAAAAAGAAGTATATTTCCACAATTTTGATTTGTTTAAAATGAGCTAAAAATGGAGATAAACATATACATTCCAAATTAGTAGTGGAAGTTGTACAAATAATTCTTCACGTGCTGTGTAGCAGATACCTCCCAGAGACACTTCATGCTTCACTGTTAATCATCACTGTTTACTCAAATGGTGATTGAAATATCAAGATTATAGGTTTAAAATAAAATCGCCATTAATTACGAGGCTGTCATCTGAAAAGAGTGGCAAACTATGAATTTTGGTCCCAGGAGGATGCTTAAATGCCTGCAGTATAAAACCATTACGAACTGTGTTGAATCTAACCCTACTAGCTGTCAAAAAGCGTTTGTACAGCCAACCATCGGTGCAGCTGTAGGATCTGACGCAACTTTCCCTTTGCTGTCCTCACCTATAAAACTGTCAGGATCTGTCAAGGAGGACAAAGAGCTGAACGAAACACCTTCAAAAAGTGAACAAAGACCCAAATGGCTGTGGATTATGCTGAATGCCTCATCTTCAGAAGTAATCTTGGCGTTTTGCAGAGTGAATTAAATAACGTTAAAAAAAACCTTTGAGAATCGTAGGAAAGATAATTATTTCTGCATTAGACGTAAAGAAAGAAAAACAGCAGTAAGATTACTTGCTTTAACTACCGAGTCCCATTGTTTGGGAGGTTTCTAATTATAAAGCACTGGAAGTGCTTCAGGAGCCAGAAAGACATTTACCTAGAGCTTCTCTGCCTGGATTCAGTTGCGTAAAGATGTGCACTTTGGATGGAATTTTTGACCTGAAACTACAGATAGACACAAAGCAAAGAAAAAACATCTTTCATTTAAGATAAAGAGGTAGAGTAAAAGGAAATATTGCATAAAATGTAAAACCATTTAAAATCAAAGAACTCCAATTAACCTTTTGAATTTCCCTTTTTTATTTTTCTTTTCTCCCTCCATGTACAACTGGCAAACAGTCTTTTTGCAAGGAGCCATCTGGAAGTATCTAGAAGGGGTCTTAATTCATTGCTGCTAAGGATGAAGAATGAATGTGCTGAGGATAACACTTATCTTTGCTCCTTCTGCCAGCATGATCACACAACCCCGTTGTGCTGACACAGAAAAGCTTGTGAGCATCTTGTATCTAATTCTTGTACAGATGAGCTCTCACACTGTGAAATTTGTGACAGTCACTGCTATCTTTGGATCAAGCTCTTATCACCCATTTGTGAATCTTCATCACTGAGACTCTTGGAGTTTCACGTGAATGTGTTGCTGTTGGTGTGTTTGTTACCTCTCAATGTGTGAATTGTTCATTCAGTTAAGAGTCACTCCTCTATCAGCGGAGCCACTGTCCTATTTAGACAGATTCTTTGCAAGTCCTGCTTTGTTGCAAAGAGAGTAGTGCAGTCCACTTAAAAGAAACCTTTGTTAGACTGTGCTGTGTTCTGGGAGCCATCAGCTGTACTTTTCAAATGTTCTGTTCTCAGTACCTGACAAAACAGACATCCTTGCTCCGTGATAGTTGTGCTGTATAATCTTAGCCCCAGCAGAGTAGAAACTTTGCTTCTTCTGATGAGATAGAAAGCAAAGGGATGTTTCTTCTGTTTAATCAGTCTGTTTGAGAATTGACAACAGCTATCTCACTCCCCTTTCTCAGAATCATACTAAATGAATGTACACCGTGCCTGCTTTTTTGTCCTTTTTTTGATCTGTCCAGCTCCAAGATGCATTACTTACTCTATTTTCCATGGTGCGCCGGAACTAACACTCCTGTCTCCTGTTGTACAACAGTCAGGGACACTGGGAATTCCAAACTCCTGCTGTGTTCAGAATGCTGTTTGTTTCATGTTTCTAGGGAAGGTTTTGCACAGCTCCTTGAAGCAGAGCATTTCTGAGAGGACGCTGAATTCCTTTTACATGGAAAGCTTCCTGGAGCCTGCCTGCAAATCTGCTGTGGGGAATTTGAGCTGGCTATAATTTCATAGCATATGGAATTAGCTTTAAAAGTCAAATCGATGTAACATAAATGGAGTTACTTTGTACATGTCTTATTTACATCCTTTGTATATACAGCTGTGCAAATCATCAAACCAATTATTGGTAAGTGATTTAGAGTGTAGTTCAGTACTTTGGAGAGAACTTTTTTGTGTTGCTTCCTTCAGTTGAACAGTGTTCAACACTGTAGAGGCCATATACTGCCATGGGGTTCTGCATTACAAAGGATCGATGTGATGTGATCCCTGGTGATGTCACACTAGTTTATCAGCATCTTGATGTTCTCTGCTCTAGTTGTCTTCCGTTAGGTGTTGCTGATAGTGTAATTTGAAGTGTAGCTAATGGTTCAATTATGTGCCAAAAGATCCTAGCCTTCACTATGGGTTCCTTATGGAGAACTGTGCCCATTTGTTGGACCTCTTGTTTTAAGCACTGAGTGAAATCACTGAAATAGAAGGCAAATTCTGCGTTGCTTGAAGGATTCCAGACTGCATTTGTGCTGTGTAGGATTCTCAGGCTATACTATTTTGTAGTGCTTGGTTTTGTTCAACAAATATGTCACCCATCCATCACCCCCACTCTTCTAATCTCTTTCAAACAAGGCCCAGAAAGAAAAGAGCCCCGTTTCAGTGAACCGTGATTGTTTCCTGCTTCTTTGCTCTATTTAACGCATCAATACTGACAAAAGATGCTGTCAAGAGTCACGAATTGCCTGCACCATTTAACAAAATGAAAAATGTTATTTGCTGTTTCCTTCCATTTTCTTTTTTATTTATTTTTTTTTTTGCCCTTGTACGTTGAGAATTGGCTACTCTATCTCTAGGAAGCTGTTTGAAGTTTTTTTGTGTGTTAAAGAATATCTGAGAGGATGCTGAGACATGAACAGTTTGTAGAAAATGTATCCTGTTTGAAACTTTGCTGCCCATTTTAATGTTCCTTGTTCATGTTCCATCTAAAAGTCTTCATGAAGAATTTTGCAAAAGTTCAAATATTACTAATAGTATGTGTAGTAGAAAAGCAAATGGAAGAATTCCTGGTAGTCGCTTCATGCTTTTATAAGAAAGGAGTCACAAA